GACAGCAGGATTTAAGTGCTTCTCTGTTTTTCAACCCTGCTATGTCCGTGCTCACATATCCAGGGCTGTAATTGACCAAACATTGCATAAACATTTCCTTCATTTAAAAAGTCACTGGATTAAGCATAAGCTCAACTTCTAAGCAGTCTTCGAATAGTCTTAATCTCTTTTTTGGTACAGGGGATCGAACTTGGGTCCTTGTGCTTGCGAGGCAGGCAGCAGAACCACTGAGCTAAATCCCCAGCCCCAAGTAGCCTTAATCTCTATGTGCCTCCTGAGCCATGTCATCTACTCCTCCAAATCCATGACAAGTTCTTTTCCCCACTGAAGCTCACCTGATTCATTTCAAAACTTCATGTAACCGGGAGCTCTTTCAGTGTTTTAATTGTATTTCCTTAACTTCTTCCTCACAAGGAATTCTCCCCTAATAGCTATCGAATATTAACTAAAATCAGTTAATCTTAGCTCTAGAGAATTAAACAGTATTACTATATTCCATCCAGGGAAGCATCTATTTAACTTTACATTTGGGCTTTTTCCCTAAGTCAGTTTTTTAGTCATGAGGAAGTGTCCTAGTGCTTTTTCAAAAGCTTGATGTTTTAGTGGATTTCCAGTGAAATGCTCCCAAAGCCATCTGAAGATGAACAATAACATCTTTTAGTTTATTCTCATCCAGATATCATTCTTCCTCAAAAGCCTCATGCATCAGGTTGGCATCTCTTTGCAGAAACCACAATCTCCTGTTCTCAATGTTTACCCTTTAAGGACCCCTAAGTCTCCATTTTTAATAGTACCCCTTGGCAGTCTGTTGCCACTGGCAACCAGACAATCCTCTGGCTTGAGGCTTGTTTCCAATAAGAGGTGTTTTACTCTGGCCAGAGTTCTGAAAGTTCATTCTCCCTTATTTTCCCAGCTTTTGCTTAGGTGCCAGTGTGCCAGCTCCAGCTTATTGGCCCAGGATAGCACTCCAGCTTATTGGTCCAGGACTTTGGAGGGCATTTGAGGGATGGGGATCATCACAGGGGAGTTTAGACCCAAGGAATCCCAGGTGCCCTTGATCTGTCACTTTTGACTCTGAGTCTTTATGGCAAATGCTTGGTCCCAGGTCTCTTGACTGTGATTCATTTATAATTGCAGACTCATTGGGCTTTTGAGATAAAAAGGCTGGAAATCATGTGGTTCAATCTTCTGTTCCTTATTTTAATGAAGAGATGGAGACTGAGTCTCTAGGGAGGATCTTCTGACATGGGTATGAGAGGAATCAGACAAGAGGATGACAGCTCTGAGAGGTGGGTTTCAGCTGGCCCTTTGACTTTCTGGAGAAGGCCTGGGTCCTCTGATATCCCCACGTGTGTCCATCCTGTCACGCAACACCCTTCAATACAACTCCACAAACATTTATTCAGTAATGATTGGTTGAAAATATAAAGGAATGATTCTCTAGTGTAAACCAACTAGACAATGGAAATATGGCAGAAACTGGTAGTGATATTTCAATATCTTTTCTCTCCATTTTTCAGAGTAATTGATTTTCTAGCTGGGAAAACAGGGCCACTCAGGATAGAGATCACATTCCCAGCCTCCCTTGCAGCTAGATGTTGCCACATGACTCAGCTCTGGCCATCAGACTACACACAGGAGTGTTAGGTACCAGTTTCCTGGAAACTTACTCAAGGAATAGCTGGTTCTCTTTCCTTTGTCCTCTCTGTTCTGATCCTTGGAATCCTGATGCTTCTCCTTGGGCCATGGGGCTGAGGAACACAGACTCAGGAGGGCCAAGGATGACCGAATCTGCTCCTGATGGGTCTTCTCAACCAAGTTGCCATATCAGCTATGGATCACTGACCTCCAGACTCCATATGTGTGAGAGAAGGATCTGTCTTGTTTATGCCACTGTTATTCTGCATTTGTCAGTTATTCAGAGCCAATCTAATTCTATTACAGGCAGTAAAATAAATATTTAATAAGGCTTTTTAAAAAGTCTTCTAGTTATGGCAAGAAAAATTGGACATTTTAGGAAATTTAAGAAGCTAGGCTCTGTGGCTATAAATATGTTTTTAAGTGATCTGTGTGCATGTGCACATAGATGCATAGATTATCTGTGGGAGGAAGTGCATAGACTGTAGTTATGGGAAAGAGATGTAGGAGTTTCAAGGTTGGGGAGGGAGTGACATGCACCTGCTTACTTTATTGTTCTGTTTAAATTTTTTTAACCACATGTGTGTTACCTTTCATTAAAATACAAGCTTATTTTATACCTTAGAGGCCCCCAGTCCATGCACTATCAAATGACCCTTTTTAGTGTCGCCAAATGAATATCCAGCACCTATTTGAGCAACTCAGGAACAAGGCACTCACCTTCTTTCCAGACAGCTTTATCTGGAAAATGAGAAAAAGGACACTCACACCAACTTCTCTCATCCTGTTTCTTCATCTGGGGAAAAGATAGGCCTTCCTCACAGGGCAGTTACTAGTGCACCTGTCAGATGTGGCACATCCTAACTGCTCAGGGCTGGCTCTGACTCCTCAGCATATCTGTCCCTATGCTGTCCTGCCTTCCCACAGCACCACTGCATGTAAACTACTGCCCTCCTCTCAGGATGATTCCCACCCAGAAGTGTGAGCCCTTTTCAATGAGTTCTCCATCAAGATGTGAAGACTCTCAGAGACTTCTGTTCAGGGGTTGCACTGTCTGGCTTCAAGTCTTGGCCACACTGCCTACCAGCTGTGTGATGGAGCTGGCCCCCTTCCAGGCTTATGTTTCATCTGTAAAAGTGAGCATGATAATCATTGTACATATTGCTATTGCAAGAATTAAACAAGATAAAGAATTTGGAATAATTTACTAAAGAATCACAACCCTTGGAGGTGTAAATATGACCTGAGTTAATATTCTCCCCACCCCACCCCTCTTGGCTGTGCTACCTCCCTTTGCCATTTATGCAAAGGGCAATAGGACCTTTTTTAACATACTGGCCTGATTCCAGAACTTTCCAGTAACTTTCTTTATTGGAACAGCTTCGTTTTGATATGTGACACTGAGTCCTGCTCTTTTTTTTTTTTTTTTTTGGTGCCGGGGATCGAACTCGGGTCCTTGCGCTTGGGCAGCAGGTGGTGAAACCACTGAGCTAAATCCCCTGCCCAGTCCTGCTCTTTTTGAAACTTTAACCCCAAACATAATTTAAAGCTGGTATTCTCTCTCTCTCCCCCTCCCTGCAGGAGGCTGGACCTCTCTGTGGCTCCAGTAGCTCATAGAGAAACTGTATTCACCTTCTATTGTTATATAGCAAATCACTACAAACTCAGTGGTTTAAACAGCATGAGTTTATTATCTCACTGTTTGTCTGGGTCAGGAATTTTACCAAGACTTAGTTAGGTCTTCCCCTTAGGGTCTCTCAAGATTTAAGTCAAGGTGCTAGCCTGAGCTGCTATCTCATATAAAGTTTGGGGTCCTCTTCCATGCTCACTAGCTGATGATAAAGCTTGATTCACTTGTTAATGACAGAAATGGATTCCTTGTGGTTCTAGAAAAGACACTCTCAACTCTTGGAGGGTGCCTGCCATTTCCTGCTACACAGCCCTCTCCACATGACACTCTGCTCCTTCAAAGCCAAAAGGAGGGCATTTGGCCCTCTGACTTCCAGATCCTCTTTTAAAGGGATCACCTGATTAGGTCAGGCCCACCCATGATGATGTCCCTTTTGATTAAAGTCAACTGATTAGGGACTTTAATAACACATGCAGAATGTCTTCACCTTACCATCATATAGTAATTCCATAAGCTTCCTTTCCCCACTCCTCCACTCCTGGATGGGAGAGATGTGGATTCTTCTCCTCCCAGCTTCCACCAAAAACTATCCTAACTACAGCCTCTAGCTTCCACATATCCACTTGCCAGGGAGAGGCTGTTTGGGGTGCATTTGTAGCAGGGCAGTGCAAAGGTGCTTGTCCCCAGTGCCTCACAGGCACAAACACATCTTTCCCCTGCTTCAGTAAGCACAAAGGTATGTCACCAATTCTGATGGTGAACCAGATGACCATATAGGAGGTGAAATCCCAGTCTCCCCTTATTGAAGATTCGTTCAACCTTCCAGGGAATTCTCCTAAAGTTGTCCTTTGTCTTGAAGAGAGGAAGCAGTAGTACTCTGACAGCATGAGGGGAGCATCCAGCCTCTCTCCTGAGCCTGCATTTTCTCCAAGCTGACTGCTTCCTTCTCTCTCTTAGTCTTCTTGTATTTGTGGCGATGACTGTGGTGGTGGTGGTGGGTGAGTAGGGAGGTGCAACTGGGTGGCCAGCTCTGTCCTCTGAATTGTTACCTCTCAGCACTGCAGGAGGTGAGGTAAGCAAATTTTAGAAGCTCAGTGAAATATTGACATCAACTCTGGACCTTGGGTGTGCAATTCTGGGACAACATGAAAAATTCCACCAAATATTAGTGTCCGATAAATAATTAATACTCAGTAGACACTAATAGGTAAATTTACCCACAGCTCAACCCAGAGACTTGCATTTAGAAGCAGGGCAGAACATCAGAGTGGATCAGGGTTGGGGCTGCTACTGACAAGCCATGGAACTCCTTCATTCTTCCAGGACAGGAACATGCTTGTCTTTCAAGCCTGGCATCAGCTTGGGTTCAACGGAGGGTCCGGTAGAGGTGGTGTGCAGGGATCTGGGCAGAGCACATTCATGCCATTCTTTTGCTTCAGTCTGTCCCATCCTCCACTGCCTCAGAGCTGGTAGAAAAGAACTGAAGATGAGGTTGAAATTCTCTGGAATTCACTGGTGTGGTGAAGATATAGCTTGGCTAGCTGTGCCTCAGACCCATGTTCTTTTCTTCCTCTCCGCAGAGTTAGACTACATTTGTCAGCCTCTTTTGCAGCTGGGCGTGGCACAGGACAAGGCTCTGGCCAATAGAATGTGAGCCCTGCCCATGGAAACCTCTCAAGAGCACAATGCTTGGTGTTCTTTCCTTTTATGCAGGTTTAATGCAGACAAACAGGTAAACTTCAAGGATGCATGTTAAGACCTTCGATCCAAAGAGAAAAGGAGCCCAGCTTCTAGAACTTTTAGAGCACCAGTTATGTGAGTGAAAAACAGATTTCTATTGTGTTGAGACTGAAGTTATGGGATAGGTTTGTTACATTAGCTGGCATTGCCTTAATCAATATATAAGTTTACACAGTAAATGAGAAAGTGAGGATACATCCAGATAGCCCATGCTTTAAGAATTTCTGGGAGTTTCAAGGGTTTATCTGCCATGCTCTAGAAAGTACTCACAATGTTTTAATTCTACTTCACTGAAGATTTTCTTTCCAGACCCTCTTCAGGGGTCTTCCCTATTTAAAAAGATCCATTTATAGAAACTACTACTTAGCATTTTTGGAACTTGTTATCCTATTCAGCAGAGTTTAAGTCAGGAGGCTTTGAACTTGGACAATTACTGCTCTTGATTAACAGCAAGAACTGATGAGTTGGCCTTTCCAGTGCACTAAGCAAACTCAGCCAAGCAGAAAATATCACTGAAGGGGAAACAACAGGAAGTGATTTTCTTGGTTACATTACAGCCGTTGCGATATTTACACATGTTTGTGGATAATGTGGGAACGTCTGCTGCTTGCCTCCCTTCCACATAACACCACTGGGTCTGGCACGCCACATTTCCCACCTGGCCTGTGCTGTACTGTCATGCTCTGACTGCAGCCAGCAGGCTCTATGGGAAAACCACAGTCCCGGGACTGGACGGGTCGGAGCTGGGCGTGGGATCTCCACCCAGCACCTTTCAAGTCCCACTTCTCTAAGTGACCTTGGGACCAGTGCCAGGTCTAGAGCTGAACAGGCAGCCTTGGCCTCACATTGCAAGACAGTTCAGTAGCAGCATGTACTAAATTTTAGTACGTGTTTGAACTCAGGTGATTACTGCTCTTGATTAATTGTCATATATTTGTGATCTCTGCATATCTTTATCCATTTCTCCATTGAAGATATATATATATATATATATATATATATATATATATGAGAACTACTTTTCATATAATTGCATATAAAATTTTTGTATATTTAGGGCATTACACCTTTTCACATTTCTTAGGTTTATTTTTCCAAGTTGTCTTTTTACTTTTTAAATTTTTTCTTAGATAAATAAAAGTAAAAACACCAGCTGAAATATGTCCATCTTTTCCTCTAAAACTTTACATCTTTTTAAATCTACAAAATCACATTCCACATGGAGATCTGAAATACATAATTATCTATTACCCTACTAATTTTGTAAAAAAAAAAAAAAAAAAGATTAAATAGCTTCTAGCTCTACTAGGAATTTATGTAAGTTCTGAGGTAAAGATTTCCCTACACTGGGGAAGCCTCTGGTGTGGCCACAGAGGGACTGATAATGTTCCTGGCTAGAGGTGGCATTGGGCAGGCCCAGGCAGGGTTGGCATGTGAAGAGCAGGCCCAGGCTGGACTTGGATCTGGGAGTCTCTACTCTGGGGTAGTGTAATAGACTGAATAATATCACTCCAAAATTCATATATTAGAATCCCAGTCCTCAGTACCTGAGAATGTAACTGTATTGGGAGATCGGTCCTTTAAGGTACAATGAGGTTGCTAGGGTGAGCCCTAACCCAGCACAACAGGTACCCCCGTAAGAAGAGAGTAGGCCGCAACTTGTAGAGGAAGACCAGAGGGAAGACACAGAGAGAAGGCAGCCATCAGCAGGCAAAGAGAGGCCTCAGAAGAAACCAACCCTGCTGACACCTTGATCTTGGACTTCTAGCCTCCGGCCTTGTGAGAAAACAAATTTCTGTTGTTTAAGCTATCCAGTATGTTGTCCTATGCTTGGTAATTTAAAAACCAACACAGGAACTCTTTGCTGAATACCCTCAGACTCCCATCATAGTCTGCTTGCAGGACCAAACCAAGATAGCTATGCTAACTTTTAAAACTTATTTTAAAATTGTGTATAAGACACATACACTAGAGAAAAATCAGAACATAATGATGAATACAAAGTAAGATCATCTGGGCCATTAGTTCCCCCAGAGGTCCAGAATCACAGTGGCTGTGTTTCTTGTGGAGAAGACCTCCCAACGAGGTCTCCAGGGGGCTGGCCAGGCTTGCCCTGGGACTCAGAGGCCCACATGTCTCCCCCAAACGGGGCTGTTGAGGCAGTGGGCTGGTGAGGCCACAGCAGTGCTTAGTCGGCCAGAAGAGTCCCTTTACCCACATCACCATACAGCTGGCCAGAAGTTCAAAGGCCATCAGGTCTGTGGGGCTGGAAACCCATCTGCTCCTACCCCATGGGGAATAGGCACTCTTCTGTAGCCTCCTGTGGAAAGTCTTCAACCTGTACCTGCACTGGTCACCTCTCCCTCCTCCTTGAGCAACCCTACCTGCTGGGAAATGACATGAGGCCAGGCCAGCTCTTCCATTTGATGCACTCCCCAGGTTAGCCCTCACTCTGGACTTGAGGAAAGGACACAGTGCCTGGATAGCTCAGAGGTAGATAGTCTAGTGTCTCTTCCCAACACACACATTTACATGTTCTTTTGGCCTTGTGCATGCTGTTACCTCTGCCTGGAAGGCCTTTCCTTAACACTTTAAAATTTCTTGTTGAAATCCTGCTCCCCTTTCATGGCTCAGCTCAAAAGTCACCTCTTCTAGGGAGGCTTCCCTGACTACCTCTTACCCAACTGAATGGATTACCTCCTCTGAGTCTACACTTTCCTAGATGCCCCATGTGTAGGTCACATTGTTCACATGAGGCCTAGAGTTAAAACATGCACATTGTCTGCCCCCAGACAGCAAGCTCTTGGTTCATTTTTGCATTCTACCTTTCCCCTGCACCTAGCTCAGAGGAAGTTCTGACTAGAATTTGACCTTTGGGTATAAAATCATGACTTCTTTACAACAGAAGAGATATTGTGGCAAAATTCACATTTGTCCCTTGGAAAAACTTGTACAAGGTGCATAACTTATTCCTCACAACACTGAGGGAAATGTTATGAGGTTTCTAAACATTATATAGGGGCAGAAATCAAGGCTTCTAGAAGTTAAGAGACTACTTACAACAGCAAATTGTGCTTCAAGAGCTGGAGCCAAGACTCATATCCAGGGCCCTTGGAAACTTTGCCCTAGGCCTGTCCCTCCACAGGGTCTCCTTGTACCCAGCACCTGTTGCAAGGCCTGGCTCCAGAGAGGATCTGAGGAATGAATGGGTCTGAGGCTAACATCTCACGCAGCAGACCTCAGTGTCCTCTCCTGCCCCTCTGTGACTGTTGCTTAGTGCAAAGGGGCTGCCAGAGGCTGCCTGAGTGCTCAGGGTTGGCACTTCCATGCCCTTACTCCACTCTGCTGTCATATGGGGCTGCACCTGCCTTGGTCACCCCAGATGTTGGTGCCCTCTTTGTGAGGAGGGCAGGTGTGAGGTTTCTGTGCCCAGAACACCAGGAACAAGAGCCATGGGGTCAGGGACTGAAGTTCTGCTGTGCTTCACCGGTTCACAAAGGTTTGGGGTCCAATTTCAGTTCTAAAACATAGCTGCTTCTCTTTGAAGTTTGTACTCTAAGAGCATTGAGAAGAAAGCAGGGCCCAAGCTCTGCCATGCTTCTCTTGCTTTCCTCTGTCCCCCAGGAATCGTCGTCATCACCATCCATTGCAGAAATGAATGGAGGCCGTGCATCCTGCTTTATTAAATATGAATGAGTCGCAGTCCATGGCCCCCACGTGGTCACTAGCCCACTCCATCTCTGGCAATTACTGAGCTGCACACACTGTGCCAAGGGGCACAGTGGTCCCTGCCTGCCCTTGCAGACTGACATTGCCCGGCAGGGGCAGGGCTCAGGTCTGCAGCATCCCTGCCCCCTAATGAAAAGCCATCTCTGGGCTCCCACGCAGCCAAAACACTCAATACTGGAAGCTTAGGTCTAGGGCATCTCTCACAGAAGGATTGCGGCTCTTGAGCTCTGAGCTCCGGCCAGGCTTGTGCTATGGAGCCTGAAGGCACACCTCCTAGGGTGAGTGGCTTCTCAAGTCTGTCTGTCCCCAGACATTTTAGTTTCCAGGAGGTTCAGCCTGAACAAGGTTAAAAGCATAGGTGCAGGTGCACACCATTTCCTAGGCATGTTACATGAGTAATCTCAAGGCTCACAACTCTTACTAGATTGTAGGCCTGATAATAGGGTTCTTGTTCACCCTGTTGACTGCTGTAATTCCCAGTGCCAGGGACATACTACATGCTCAGTCAGTTAGGTGAATGGATGTATGAAGTGGGTATTACCATTCTGGAGCTAAAAAAGTTGAGGCCAGGCGATCTCTCAAGGGTGAACTCTGCCCCTCCTGCCCCTGCCCATGCCGGAGTCCAATACTGCAGCACATCATTCTGGATGCACAGATTTGTTCTGACCTCGATTTAATTAGGAGCCATCAAATTCCCCACAACTCCATGTGGTTTAGTCAGACTTGTCAAAGACCACCTATGAACTAATAAAAGCAAATCAGATCAAATTCATTTTCTGAACTTAAAAAATTACTTTTATTTTAGGAACCAATAAAATTATGGCAAATATTTACAAATAATTATCTCACATAAAGGTTACATAAAATCAATTCTTCACAAGTTAACAGTCACTCATGATAAGACACACGGATATTGAAACTACTCCAATCTTATTGCATTTTTATCCAACTAATCTAAAATAAAGGTGTTGCAGCCAACCATTTAACTTAAAATAAGACCACAAATTTCAGGTTTGACAAGAAAAAAAAAGTTTCAAAAATTAAGCCCACACCCCACCCATGTCCTCCCAGGCCCACCCCCATCCCCTGCCCCCTCCCAACAAAAGAAAAATATGTCCAACATCTTTGGCAAATTGGCACAGCTGTAATTACATTCAAATATTATTACACACAAAAGCAACACACGTCACTAAGAAAAAAACCACCAGTATTTCAAGTCAGTTATTTTCTACTAGAAAAAAAGAATACAAAACATACACATTTTTAAGAACCATTTTTTTTCCCATCTGTTGGAGACAGACCATCTCCCACTTTCAAAGGCAATTCAATTGTGTGGTTTTTTTGTT